TTGCTGGTGGCTGCAGCTCTGTATGGACACAGGGTCTGCCCTCTTCGCCCCGGAGGCTGCATTACCAGATGTTGTGGTGGGGATATGGCTGTGTGGGACAGCACTTGTCCCGCTTTGTGCTTCCAGTGTGCAGGAATTCATGACCTTCACGAGCCAGCTGATCGTGGAGCGCTCGGAGCTGGGCAGCAGAGCCTCTGTCAAGGAGCAAGGTGAGGGGAACGTGGGGCCCCGCGGCCACAAGTGCTGCTTCCTCCTCTGCTTATGATGGGAGATGAGACCTCAGAGGGCACCCGGGTGAGTGGCACCGAAGGGGTGAGGTTGTTGAGCTCAGCCCTCCCTTGAGAGAGCAGCAGGGACCTGCCCCACAGCCAGCAGCCCCCTTGGAGCCACCCTTCAGCCTGTCCCCTGGCCCCACACAGCCTCCTCCTGCCCCTCACCCTTGGGCTCTGCCCCACAAGTCCTGGCTCCATCCCCTGACCTCTGGCCTCTGGGACATGCAGGGTGTGGCCTGGAATCAACTTAATGACACTGCAGGCTGGTGACACGTCGGTGTTGTTAAAACCAGGCCAAGTGCTTCTCCTCCGCTGTTTGTTCAGCCCTGGCAGGACCTGCTCCCCTGGGCAGGCAGTGCCATGTCCTGCCCTGTGCAGCCAGGCTGCCCTGACCTCCCCGGGCACCACTGGGGACTGATCTGGAGCCTCCTTTGAGCCCTTTCTGCTCTTCTCGTGAGCTGTAGTCACTGGTGGAACCTCTCAGAGCAGTTTGGGGGTGGATGAGCTGCCGGGGCCGGGTGGGTGCTGGGGTTGCCTCTGACGCGAGTTCTGTGCCCAGAGTACCTCTGCCACGTGTACGTCCGGAACGATGGCCTGGCCGGGGTGGTGATTGCAGACAACGAGTACCCCCGCGGGTTTGCTTCACCTTGCTGGACAAGGTGAGTGTGGGGCTGATGGGGCTGTGCTGGGGACCTCCCTCCTCAAGCAACCAACTCATCAGTTGGGGGCTGTCAGAGCCGAGTTGAGCTCAAAGCCTCTTGAGCTGTAGCACAACGTGGCTTTGCCTACCAGGACTCAGCTCTTCATGAGCACCCTGTCCTCCCTGTCTGCTGTGGGGTTTATGTGGGGCCAAAGCCCAGTGATTAATGTGTGACAGGGTGCAGTGGGGACAGCCACCCTTCCCTGGTGTGGGCACTGCTCTGTTTGCTGAGGAACTTGGGTTCTGTCTCCTTCAAAGAGGAACAAGGAGGAGAAAAATCATAGGATCATAGAGCAGTTTGGGTTGGAAGGCACCTTAAGGTCATCCAGTCCCAACCCTCTGCCATGGGCAAGGATGCCTCGCACTAGACCATGTCACCCAAGGCTTTGTCCAACCTGGCCCTGAACACTGCCAGGGATGGGGCATTCACCACATCTCTGGGCACCTGTGCCAGTGCCTCAGCACCCTCACAGGGAAGAGCTTCTGACATCCGGGATCTCCTGGGTTTGAGGAGAAAACCCCTCCTGGTGGCCATGGCAGTGACCCCCGTGTCCGTGTGCCGCAGGTGCTGGATGAGTTCTCCAGGCAGGTCAGCAGAGCAGACTGGCCCTCAGGATCCCCAGCGACCATCAGCTACGCGGCCCTGGATGGGCACCTCAGCAAGTACCAGGTACAGCCCACGTGGCACAGGGAGGGGGGAGCCATGGGGTGCCGGGGGTGCTGATGTCCCTGTTGTTTCTCTCCCAGAACCCCCGTGATGCTGACCCTATGACCAAAGTGCAGGCAGAGCTGGATGAGACCAAGATCATCCTGGTGAGGAGAACCCCCAGGCCACAGTCCCATCCTGCCTTCTCGCTTCTCCAGAGAGATTCCTGTGGGTGCTTCCTGTCCCCTTCTCTCCTTCCCCTTTGTTTTCTGCTGTCCCAGTGTCCCAGTGCAAGCACCAGGGCACTCACCCTCCTCCCTTCCCATTGTTATTGGGGCTGGGGTTGCTCCCTCCCTCGCCGGGGCTGTGGGAAGAGGGAGGCTCATCCCGGGATGCAGCAGTACCTGAGTCTGCTCAGTGCGGGTCAGGCCCTGGGGGCCGGTGCCGTGGATTAGCACCAGTTTCCTTGGCAGCACAACACCATGGAGTCACTACTGGAGCGAGGGGAGAAGCTGGATGACTTGGTCTCCAAATCAGAGGTGTTGGGGGCACAGTCCAAAGCCTTCTACAAAACTGTGAGTGCAGGTGGTGGCCCAGGCGAGGGTCGCCCTGTCCCTGAGGCACCAGCGATGGGCTGGGGAGGGGTGGGATAAATCCCTGCGGAAGAGGATGTGTAAAAGAACTGTCCGGGTGGCCGCACACAGAGAGTTGTGGTCAATGGCTCAGTGTCCAGCTGGAGACTGGTGATGAGTGGGGTCCCTCAGGGGTTGGTGTTGGGACCAATCCTGTTCAACGTCTTTGTCAGTGACATGGACACTGGGATCGAGTACCCTCAGCGAGTTTGTGCTGACACCGAGCTGTGTGGTGCGGGGCACACACTGGAGGGAACGGATGGGATCCAGAGGGATCTGGACATGCTGAGAGGTGCCCAGTGCCAACCTCATGGAGCTCAACAAGGCCAAGGCAAGGTGCTGCCCCTGGGTAGGGGCAGTCCCAGGCACAGACACAGATTGGGTGGAGAAGTGATTTGAGAGCAGCCTGAGGGGAAGGACTTGGGGGCGTTGGGTGAGAAGCTCCCCATGACCCGGCTTTGGTGTACGCTTGAGCCCAGAACCCCCCGTGTGCTGGGCTGCACCCCCAGAGCGTGAGCAGCAGCTCAAGGAGGGGATCCTGCCCCTCTACTCTTGTGAGCCCCCCCTGCAGCCCTGTGTGCAGTGCTGGGGTCCCCAACATAAGGACATGGAGCTGGTGGAGCAAGTCTAGAGGAGGCCATGAGGATGCTCAGGGGCTGGAGCAGCTCCTGTATGGAGCCAGGCTGAGGATGCTGAAGGGAGGGGCTCTTCATCAGGGACTGTAGCAATAGGACAAGGGGTGATGGGTTCAGACTGAAACAGGAGGAGTTCAGGTTGGAGATAAGGAAGAAGTGATTTATGTGAGGGTGCTGAGGCGCTGGCACAGGGTGCCCAGGGAAGCTGTGGCTGCCCCATCCCTGGCAGCGTTCAAGGCCAGGTTGGACACAGGGGCTTGGAGCAAGCTGCTCCAGTGGAAGGGGTCCCTGCCTGTGGCAGGGGTTGGAGCTGGATGAACTTTAAGGTCCCCTGAGCCCAAACCCTTCTGTGCTTCCATGGTTCTGAGTATATGCTGGGCAGGGATCACATCCCCTGTGGGTGTGGGACTCCTTGAGACATCCCTTGCCCTGTGGCTGGTGCTGGTCCCAGCTCCGGCGGTTCCCGGTGCTGATCCTGGCTCTGGTGATGCAGTGCTCCTTGCCTGGGGGGCCGGTGCGGGCGGGACGGGGCTCTGCAGCCTCACTGCCGCTTTTCCTTCTCTTCCCAGGCCCGGAAGCAGAATTCCTGCTGTGCCATCATGTGACACAGACCCCACATCTCCTGCTCCGGACCTCCAGCCCTGCGCTGCCCTTCGGCAGGAGCCGCAGCGCGTGCCCAGGCCGGGGCTGGCGGCACCCTCGGCACTGAAGTGACTTTATGGCCCCATGTCCAGGGGCTGGTATGGGGCCGGTGCCCATGGGGCAAAGGGGGAGCATGGGAGCCCCCCCGGCCCTCACGTATCCCGAGGGCAGCCGGGACCATGGGGCACCGGCTGAGGGCCCCTTCGCATTGCCCCATGGCCTTTCCCAGCACCTCGGGGGGGGGGGGGTTGTGTCTCTGTGTCCCAAGGGTGAGCCGGGGGGTGGGGAGGGGGGGAAAGCAGAAGCGCTTTCCCATGGTGGGGGGGTGCTTGCTGCTGGGATATTATTGCCTGTGCCCAGGGAGGGGGTCGCCTCTGGGTGCCTTTGGTGGTGGTGTGGGATGGGACAGCTGCCCCGGGGGGGCTCAGGATGGAGGGGGGGCTGTCCCCTGTTGTGCTGGCTGGGGGCCTGTGTCCCCCCCTTTGACCCAGTGAAACCAGCCCCAGGGCTGCGGTGCCTGCACCAGTGGGAGGGAAGCAGGGCCGGGGTGGGGGGGAGTCTCCTGCTTCCCGCCCCTACTCCCATCACCTCGGGGGGCTCCAGCAGCCCCCGCTGCCTCCTCTTCCTCCTGTGGAAGGGGGAAGAAAAGCTTTTGCTTGAGGTTGTCTCGTGGTCAGTGTTGCTGTCGTTCCCGGGCTGTTGCCCGCAGCGCCCAGGCAGGATAAAATTGTCTTTGGCACTTGTTGCCCCGCTCTGGCTCTCTCTGGGTGGGAATCATGGCATTAACCTTGGAAAAGCCCTTTAAGCTCATCCAGTCCAACCCTTACCCCAGCACGGCTGAGGCCACCACCAACCTATGGCACTGAGGCCTCGTCTCCATGGTGTGTGAACACCTAGAATGATAGAATAGTTAGGGTTGGAAAGGACCCCAAGATCATCCAGTTCCACCCCACCCTGCCCTGGGCAGGGACACCTCACACTAAACCATGGCACCCAAGGCTCTGTCCAGCCTGGCCTTGAACACCGCCAGGGATGGAGCATTCACAACCTCCCTGGGCAACCCATTCCAGTGCCTCACCACCCTCACAGTAAAGAACTTCTTCCTTAGATCCAATCTAAACTCCCCCTGTTTAAGTTTGAACCCATTACCCCTTGTCCTGTCACTACAGTCCCTAGTGAAGAGTCCCTTCCCAGCATCCCTATAGGCTCACTTTAGACACTGGAAGCTGCTTTGAGGTCTCCATGCACCTTCTCTTCTTGCAGGGACAGTGACTGCAGCCCTGCCCTGGGCAGCCTGTTCAATGCCTGAGCACCCTTTGGGGGAAAGAATTGTTCCTCAGCTCCATCTAAACCTGCCCTGGTGCAGCTTGAGGCTGTTTCCTCTTGTCCCATCCCTTGTTCCTTGGGAGCAGAACAAGGGCTCCATCCTGCTGCCTGGCAGTTGTAGGGAGCAGTAAGATCCCCCCTTATCCATTGTTTTTTCTCATAATTTATTTGCAGTTTTCCCGAGACAAAAACGAAATCCGAGGAATCTTTTACACTTACAAGGCTCAGAAAGAAAAGACGAAGGGTTTTGTTTGGTTGTTTTTTGGAGGGGGGCAGGAAATGGGTGGAAAAAGAATGAGAGAAAAAGGGGGAGAAGAGTCAAATTTGGCAACGATCCACCAGCATTCATGGGACAGAAACAGCTCAGCTCAGCTCCTCAACATACAGCGTTAGCGCCCGAGGGTTGCTCCCGCGCAAAGGGCATGCAGAAACGACTGATCAGGATTAAAAAAGAATCATCATCATCATCATTATCATAATAAATACCCCCCCCCCCAAGCCCAAACCAGCCCCCAGCAACACGGTGCCTCTGGATGTGGAGATGGGCCAACGGGAAGCGCATGGCCGAGCTGGGGAGTGCCCAGAGCCCCTCCCTGGGCAAGGGGAGGTCGGGGGTGCCGGGGTGTGTGTGTGTGTGTCCCCCTGAGAGGGGAAGGGGTGCGGGGAGGGGAGCGCTGCCCGGTGCCATGGGGGGACCCCCGGCGGAGCAGCCTGTGCCCCCTAAGAGACCCGTTCTCTTAGTCTAAAGTGCTTTCGATGCTGCGTCAGTGCTGGCTGGATCGCCCCGAGCCCCTGTCCCAGCCCTGGTACGTGGAACTCGCGCCCCCCCCACCACCCCCGCCCCCCCGAGCCCCGTCACCCCCACAAAACCCACCAGCACCCAGAGGTGCCTCTGTCACCGGGCAGGGGACACAGAGGTGGCTGCCAGAGGATCCCCCCCCAAAGGCACCCACCATATCCCCAGCGCCGGGACTTTGCTGGGGGAGTCCCTTGTGTGTGTGCCCCCCCCCCCCCCCCCCCCCCCAGCAGCCGGGGCCCCCCCATGGGAATTCAAAAATAAAGAGCTCTCTCTATGTACAGGGACGGGGAGAGCGAAAGCGGAGCCCAAAGAACAACATCCACCACCAGCAACAGCGACACGCCACAAGCACAGCCGGGGCCGGGGGGGCCGGGCAGGGACCCCCCTCCCCGCCACAGCCGGGAGACACCCCCAGGCGGAGACGGGCAGAGAGGGGGGTCTGGCCATGGGAGCGCCCCCCCCCCCCCCCCAAGTCCCCGCCTGGGCTGGATCTGGGGTGGGGGTTGGGGTTTCCCCCCCCACCTCTTTTTTTTTTTTTTCTCTTTTTGGGTTTTTTTGTGTGGTTTTTTTTTTTTGTCTTTTTGTTTTCTGCAAACACAGGCACTGGAGGGGAGGAGCGGGGCGGGGGGGGGGGACGGGGACAGGCATGCGGACGCGTGCTTCGGGGCCGCAGCTCCGGCTGCCGGCTCGGCTCCCATCGCCGGCTCCGTCAGGCTGGAACCAGGACAGCCACCGCCAGCTCTGCGGGGATGGGGGGGGTGAGGCCGAGCCGGGGCACCCCCGGTACCCTCCCGATGCCCCCCCCCCCCCCCCCCCCATCGCCCCGGCCCTGCTTTCACCTTCATTCACTGCAGCGGGGCGACCGGGGCCCCCGAGCCGTGGAAGTGGACGTTCTGCCACTTGCCGTCGCGGCGGTGCCACACGCGGGTCTCCTCGGACTGGCTGGTGCGGGGCCGGCCCTGGCCGTCGATGTACTGCGTGAGGCGGATGTAGGCGATGCAGGCGGCGTCCTCGCCGATGACGTGCACGTGCGGGTTCAGGATCGTCGTGTGGATGGGTTTGTTGTTCTTGGAGAGCACTGCGGGGCGGCCGCAGGGTCAGGGGTGGGCAGGGGAGGGAGCGGGGCAAGGGGGCAGCAGGATGGACGGGGCGGCCGTGCGGGCAGAGAGGGGTGGATGGGTGGACAGGCGGCCAACGCACAGGCAGGATGCTGCTGGCAGAGCTGGGTGATGGACACAGGCTGGAGCAGGCAGGGGCCAGGGAGAGGATGGGCAGAGGGACCAAGCAAGGGACTGGTGAGACACAGGCAGGGGCAGACAGGGCAGGGGATGGACAAGTCTGGTGGGCAGGGGGAGGGCTGGGGACAGGCGAGACAGGTGACAAGACAGGATGGACAGAGGGACAGGCAGGACAGGAGGATGGATGGGCAGGCATGCAGACAGGAGACAGGCAGGGAGATGGGGGGGATGGAAGGGGATGGGCTGGGCAAGGACAGGCAGGACATGGGCAGGGTAGGCAGGGCACAGGTAGGGGGGAGGCAGGGTGCAGGCACAGGCAGAGGGTAGGGTGCAAGGCAGAGGCAGGGAGCACACCAGGTGCAGGGCACAGGCAGGGTGCAAGCATGGTGCAAGCAGAGGGCAGGCAGGGAGAAGGCAGGAAGAAGGCAGGGTGCAGGGCACAGGCAGGGTGCAGGCAGTGAGAAGGCAGGGTGCAGGCAGGGTGCAGGGTGCAGGCAGGGGGCAGGGCACAGGCAGGGTGCAGGCAGAGGGCAGACAGGGTACAGGCAGGGAGAAGGCAGGGTGCAGGGCACACGCAGGGTGCAGGCAAAGTGCAGGGCACAGGCAGGGTGCAAGCTGGGTGCAGGCAGAGTGCAGGGTGCAGGCAGAGCGCAGGCAGGGTGCAGAGCACAGGCAGCATGCAAGCTGGGTGCAGAGCACAGGCAGGGTGCAGGGCACAGACAGGGTGCAGGCAGAGCACAGGCAGGGTGCAGGGCGCAGGCAGGTGCAGGCAGAGCACAGGCAGGGTGCAGGCAGGGTGCAGGGTGCAGGGCACAGGCAGGGTGCAGGGCGCAGGCAGGGTGCAAGCTGGGTGCAGAGCACAGGCAGAGTGCAGGCAGGGTGCAGGCAGCGCCAGGCACTCACAGTTCTCAAAGTAGAAGCGGTGAAAGTCCATCCCCTCCACCAGGTTGCCCAGAGCCTCGGGCTCGAAGGAGGTGAGCCCCGGGTCGCAGATCTTCCTGTGGAGCAGCCGTGGGGCAGCCGTGGGGCAGCAGCGGCCATGGCCCCCCCCCCCAACCCCCCCTGTGACCCCACTCACGCGTAGGCTTCGAAGTCTCCGTTGTTGACGGCCTCAATGAGCTGCTCTGTGATCTTGATGATCTCCTGCTTACGGGCTGGAGGGCCACCGGCACCATCACCACCCTGACCCCATGCCCTTCCCATCCCCCTCCCATCTTCAACCCTATTCCACCCTATCTCGTTCCCCTCCCCATCCCATCCCTATCTTTAACTCCATCCTTGTTCCCATCCCATCTCCATCCCATCATCCCTATCCCCATCCCATTCTGTCCCTTCCACAGGTGCCCTGTGCTGGAGGACTGGGGACAGACACAGACACTATGGGGGTGGTGACAGGGCCGGTGGGACAGAGACATATCCATGTCCTGGGAGATACTGGAATGGACACAGGGACATGGGACATGGTGAAGGGATACATGGGGAGAAGGGATGGGGAGACAGATGGTGGGGACAGATGGACCATGGGAACACACACAGGGACCTCCATGCACCCAGGGCCCTGCAGCTCTGCCCTGCCACACCAGAATCGGCCTCCCCATGGTCCTGTGCCCTTCCAGCACATCCCAGCACTGCCCAGTGCCATCCCAGTGCCCTTCCAGCACATCCCAGCACTGCCCAGTGCCATCCAGTGCCCTTCCAGCACATCCCAGCACCATCCCAGTGCCCTCACAGAACACTGAGGCGTCCCAGTATCCTCTGAGTGCCACCTCACCATGTACTCCCTGTACTTTTCAATGTCAACCCTGCATGTCCCACTATATCCCAGGGCCATTCCAGTGCATCCAGTTTCATACAAGTGTTTCCCAGTGATATCCCACTCTGTCTCAGTGTGATTCCAGTGCATCCCAGTGCATTACAATAAATCCCAGTTCCATGCAAGTGCATCACAACACATCCCAGTGCCATCCTATTGCATCCCAATGCATGCCAGGGCATCCAAAATGTCCCAGTTCCATCCTAGTGCAATCCCACTGCATTTCAGTGACACCCCAGTACATTCCAGTGCATTCCACTACATCTCACTCAGTTACACCCTGGAGTGTTCCGGTACCACTCCTGGGCATCTCGATACACCCCAGTTTCCAACAGCACATCTCAAGGCCATCCCAGTGCATTTCAATGCAATCCAGTGCCAGCCTACTGTGTCCCAGTGCCCTTCAAGCATTCCAGTTCATCCCATTTCCATTCCAGTGTCACACTGTTGAATCCCATCATCCTCCTATTGCATCCCAGTGCCAATCGACTGAGTCCCAGCATTATTCCAGTGGATCCCACTACATCCCAGTTCCATTCCAGTGCATTGCAGTACCATTCTACTGCATCCCAGTACACCCCAGTTCCAACAAGTGCATTCCACTGCTATACCAGTGCATTTCAATTCACCTCGGTACCATATCACTGTATCCCAGAGCCACCCCGGTCCATTTCTGGGTCACCCTCATGTGTTCCAGTGCCATTCCAATGCATCTCAGTGTGACTCCACTATATCCCAGTGTGTCCCAGCGCATCTTAATGCCACTCCTGGGCCACCCCAGTGTTTCCCAGTGCACCCCATGTCATTCCAGCACATTCCTACACAGCCTAGTTCCACCTCAGTTTGTTCCAGTGTCATCTTAGTGCATCCCAGTGTCATTCCAGCACAATTCCAACACAGCCCAATTCCATCCCAGTGTGTCCCACTACTACTGCAGAGCATATCTTTACACTCCACTCTGCCCCATGAATCTCAGTGATGTCCCACTGCATCTCAGTGCCAATCTGCTGAGTCCTAGTGCCATTCCAGTGCATCCCAATACGTCCCAGTACAGCCCAGTTCTAAAAAGTGCATCTCAATTAACCTTGGTACCATGCCACTGTAGGCCAGCATCGTCCCAGTGCATCCTGGTGCATGTCAGGCCATCCCAGTGACATTCCAGTACATCCCAGTGCACCCTCATGCACCTTGGTGCCATCCCAGTCTGTCCCCATGCCATTCCAGTGCATCCCAATCCACCCCAGTGCCATCTTACTGCATCCCAATGCATCCTAGTGCCATCCCAGTGCACCCACGCATCCCAGCGTCATCTCAGTGCATCCCAGTGCCATCTCAGTACACCTCAATGCATCCTAGTGCCAGCATCAGTACATCCCAGTACATCAGTGCATCTCAGTACATCCCAGGACATCCCAGTCAGTGCATCCCAGTGCCATCTCAGTGCATCCCAATGCATCCCAGCATCATCTCAGCGCATCCCAATTTATCCCAGTGTCATCCCAGTGCATTCCACCCCCCTCCCAGTGCCATCTCAGTGCATCCCAATGCATCCCAGTGCCATCTCAGCACATCCCAGCATCATCTCAGTGCATCCTAACGTATCCTAGTGCCACCCCAGTGCATTCCACCCGCCTCCCAGTGCATCCCAGTGCCATTCCCAGCATCCCAACGCATCCCGGTGCATCCCAGTGCAGACCAGCGCCACCTCGGTACATCCTAATGCATCTCAGTGCCATCTCAGTGCATCCCAATGTATCCTAGTGCCACTCCAGAGCACTCCAACCCCAGTGCATCTCAGTGCCAGCCCCCCAGCGCAGCCCCCATCACCTTTGGTGTCCTCATCCTCGATGGTGGTGTTGGTGCTATCGGACGACTCCTGCCAGCGGTGCCGGGGGAGAGACACAGACAGAGAGCAGGGTGAGGCCAGGCCCCACCGGGGATGGGGGGGAAGAGCCTGGCTGGGGCCCGGCCGGAGCCCGGTGACACCGGTTGTGCTGGGGACGAGCCGCCGCCGCCGTCACCCCCTCCCGCCCCGCGCCATGGCTGATGCTGGGGAGATGGAGGCGGAAAGCGGGGCCCAGACGGCCCCGGCGCTACCGGCTGTGGCGGGGGCGAGGGGAGGAGAGGCAGCAATACCTTAACGCCGTCCGCGGGGTTATGGATTACCGTAGTTTGAGGCTCCTATGGGAGAAGGGAGAGAGACAGAGGGGGGGGGGGGGGGGGGGGGAGGGTAGGAAAGGAAGGAAGCAAGAGCCCGGAGGGGGGACAACGGAATTGGGGGACGACGGAGCGAGCGGCACGCGGACAGGGGCGAAGAGAGACCCAGACCGGATTTGGGGAGGGCAGAGGGGGGAGAGAAGCAGAGAGTCATTAGTCCAGCGAAAGCCAAATGGTTTAATTCACAGAAAGACAGAGGCTGGGGGGAAAGAGCTGGGGCAGGGGGGAAGGACACAGCAAGAGGAGAAGCTGCAGGGTGGTGGTGGAGGGCAGCCCCGTGCCCATGTGCACTGCACTCCCTGTGCCGGCCGAGCAGCCTTCCGCCTGCTTCCCGCACTCACTGCCTGAGCTGGACATCCCCTTACCTGCAGCCTGCATCCCCCACAACAGCTCGGTGTCCCCATGCCCGTCTCCTGGAATCACGGCACCAGCTGGGCGTCCCCATGCCCATATTCCACATTCATGGTACCAACTGGGCATCCCTGTGCCTGCATCCTGCATCCACGTGCCCGTATCCTGGACTCAAGGTACCAATGGGCATCCCTGTGCCTGCATCCTGCATCCATGCGCCTGCATCCTGCATCCATGTGCCTGCATCCTGGACTCCCTGTGCCTGCATCCTGCATCCACGTGCCCATATCCTGGACTCAAGGTACCAATGGGCATCCTTGTGCCTGTAATCCTGCATCCCTGTGCCTGTATCCCATACCCACCTTGCTGTCCACGTGCTGGATCATCCCTGCACCCTGCTCCCGCTGTGACAGCCCCATCCCGTATTCCACACACACTTCACCATGCTCTGGTCCTCTGTGTCCTGCACCCACCTCGTGCCCAGTGGTGGGGTCCCCCCATGTCCATACCCTCTGTGACGGGTACCCCAGGGTGACATCTTGCCACCACTCCAGTGCCGCGGCAGGAGCACTCTGTGCTGTGTTCTGCACCCACCTCACTGTCTCCATTGTGGGGACACCCTTGTGCCCAGGTCAGGAACCCACCTTGTCCCATGGCAGGGCCATCAGGTGCCCATATCCTGCACCCATCTCACTGCACCCCCAGCAGGGGCACCCCCACGCCCATATCCTGCACCCACCTTATCTGTATGGCGAGGGCACCCCTGTGTCCGTATCCTGAACCCACGCTGTCCATGGCAGGGCTGGCTTGTGCCCGTATCCTGCACCCGTATCACAGGACACTCCTGGGTGCATCCTGCACCCACCTTGTCCACATGGCAGGGCTGTCCCTTGCCCGTATCCTGCACCCATGGTGGTGACACCCCCGTGCCTGTATCCTGCACCCGTGTCACAGGACACTCCTGTACCAACATCCTCGCACCCACCTTGTCCATGGCTGGGCTATCCCTTGGCCGTATCTTGCACCCATCTCGCTGCACCCATAGCAGGGGCACCCCTGTGCCCACATCCTGCACCCACCTTGTCCCATGTCAGGGCATCCCCGTGCCTGTATCCTGCACCCATCCCACTGCACCCATGGCGGGGGCACCCTGTGCCTGTATCCTGCACCTACCTTGTCCCATGGCGGGGGCACCCCTGTGCCTGTATCCTGCACCCACCTTATCCATGCTGCATGGGTGCCCCCATGTCCGTATCCTGCCTCCCCCTCTCCATCCTCATGCCCCCCCCTTCATCCCCAGCAACACCAGGGCCAGCCGGACAGACAGACGGACAGGGTGGGGGTGCCATGGCGATGGATGGGATGGGGTGGGATGATGGGATGGATCCAGGGTGGGGGGTCAGGGAAGCACCTACCAGTGCAGCGGGCGGGAGGGTCCCCTTGGGGCTAGTGACACCGGCGCTGCCTTTGGTGCTGTTGGTCTGAGGCTGAGGGAGGGGAGAGAGAGTTGGGGGGCTCAGTGGCCATTGGGGGGGTGACCCCCCCCGACCCCCCCCCAGCTGCTCACCTTCACACCATCCGCCTTCTTGTTCAGTAAGCTCTTAGCTGCTGCGGGGGGGGGGAAGAGCGTCAGAGGCCATCCCCCCCCCTCGGGGACAGGGGACACTGCATGTGTGTCCCCCCACCCTGAACCCCCACCCCTGGCCCCCCACCCTGATGCCCCCCCAATGTGCCAGCAGCAACCATCAACCCCGGTGTCGGGGAGGGGGAACATGCTGATGGGGGGGTGGCCCCATCCTGGGGTGTCCCCACATGAGCTGGGGGGGGGGTCCCCACCCTGGAGGCCCCCGCGGGGGCTGGCTTACCTTGGAGGAATGCAGAAAGGAAAGCGAGAGAGAGAGGAGGGGAGCGAGAGAGAAACGGGGGAAAAAAGGGGGGAAAAAAGGGAAAAACATAAAAAAAATCATAAAAAAGACGAGTTGAGTGCAGGGGGGCAGGGGGTGGCAGGGTGGCCCCTGTGCCCCACCGTGCTACCCTGGAGGGAGACGAGGACGGACGAGGAGCATCTCTCACTGCTGTCACTGCTGTCACTGCTATCGCGAGCTCTGCCAGTGGGTATGGGGGGGACAGGAGGGGGTCACAAGTGGCCTCGGGGGGGGCTGGTGTCACCTTGAGCATCCTCATTGCTCCGCCAAGCTTGGGGACCCCCCCGCTGGTGTCACAGCGCTGGGGGGTGCTGGGGGGTGACACGTCCGGTGACAGCAGGGTGACAGGCATCAGCCCCCAATATGGGGCAGACTAATGGGGGGGGGGGGGGGCACGACACCCCTGCCCCCCCCTTTGGTGGAGCCGTGTCCCCATGGGGGTCCCTGTCGGGGTGTCCCCAAGGGTCCTGGTCCCTCCTCAGGAAGCAGGCGGGCGCTGAGAGGTGGGGGTTTAAACCAGAGCCGAACTGGGGGGGCCGGGGGGGGGTACCCCGGGGGTGGGGGGGGGTGGGGGGGGCAGATGGAGCCCTTTGGAGGAAAGGGGGGCCCGGTTTAACACCCGCCGAGTGTTTCGCGGCGCCACGAACACCGGCTGCAGCTCTCAGGAAGCCATGCGGGGGGGGCACGTGCTGGGGGGGGCCATGGGGCATGCAGCTGGTTTCTTCCCTCCATGCAGCACCGTGTCTCCCCATGCAGCATCTCCCCATGCATCTGGGGGGGGGGTACCCTAAATTATCTCCACCTCCCCCCCCCCCCCCCCCCCCCCGCAATGTCCCCATTGCTGACCCTAACCCCGTGCATGTCCCGTCCTCCCCCCGGGGGGAACCACAGAGCAGGGCACAGGCACCCAAGCAGCGATGGGGGAGCACAGGGTGTGACAAGGGGGGGGCACAGTGGAATCTCTGTCCCCATAGGGGTGATGCGGGGTGGGGGGGGGGGGGCGATGCAGTGCGGGGGGGGGGCCATGCATGCGCTCCGATTTCCGAGGAGGGCACCCGAAACCCGTTGGGGGGGGTGAGGAAGAGGATGGGGGGGGGGGTGAAGGACACAGAGACCAAGCGGGGCCGGGTTGGGGGGGGCCGGGCGGGCCCTTTGCGGACGCGTCTACCTTGTTCCACCAGCCCCAGGGGGGCCCCGGCGGCGGCCGCCGACATGGTCGGAGGAGCGGTGGTCTGTCTGCCCACTGCCGGCAGCGGCACGGAGAGGAGAGAACGGAGCGGAGCTCCCGTTAGGAACGGGCCGGGGGGGGGCGCTGAGGGGGGGGGCGCAGCCGGGACCCCCGCTTCCCACCCCAGCAACGGCACCAACGGGGCCGGGCCCTGCTGCTGCTCCCCTCACGCACCCTGTGCCCCCCCCCCCCCCCGGCCTCTACCGGTCACTGCGGGGGGGGGGGGGGGGGACACGGGAGCGGGCACTACCTGCTGCTGTGTGCGGGGGGGGGGGGGGCCGCGTCCTGCCCCCCCCTTGGCTACCGCACGCCCCGTCCTCGGCGACAGGGGAAAAAACGGGGGGGGGAGGGGGTGTCAAAGGGGGGGGTTGGGGGGGGGTAAAGAGAGAAAGACAGCGACAGAGAGAGGGGGCGGGGGCACCAGCCTCGGCGGGGGCTGCGGGCGGGGGGGCTGCGGCCCCGGCTCACCCCGGCAGCGGGAGCCCCCCCTTACCTGAAAAGTTCCTCGTGGCCAACATGGTGGTGAGGATGGCGCCCTGCGGGGGGGGGCACAGAGAGAGAGCTGCGTGGGGCCGTGGGAGGGGACCGTGGGGTCTGGGAAGGGGCCATGGGGTAGGGGTGCAGGAGGGTGCAGGATAGGGCCATGGGGTGCAGGATGGGGCTGTGAGTTGTGGGGTGCAGGAGGGGGCTGTGGGGTCCGGGAAGGGGCCATGGGGTAGGGGTGCAGGAGGGTGCAGGATAGGGCCATGGGGTGCAGGATGGGGCTGTGGGTTGTAGGAGGGGGCTGTGGGGTCTGGGAAGGGGCCATGGGGTAGGGGTGCAGGAGGGTGCAGGATAGGGCCATGGGGTGCAGGATGGGGCTGTGGGTTGTGGGGTGCAGGAGGGGGCTGTGGGGTCCGGGAAGGGGCCATGGGGTAGGGGTGCAGGAGGGTGCAGGATGGGGCCATGGGGTGCAGGATGGGGCTGTGAGTTCTGGGGTGCAGGAGGGGGCTGTGGGGTCTGGGAAGGGGCCATGGGGTAGGGGTGCAGGAGGGTGCAGGATAGGGCCATGGGGTGCAGGATGGGGCCTTGGGTTGGGGATGCAGGATGGGGCCATGGGGTGCAGGATGGGGTTGTGGGGTGCAGGATGGGGCTGTGGGGTCCGGGAGGGGGCCATGGGGTAGGGGTGCAGGAGGGTGCAGGATAGGGCCATGGGGTGCAGGATGGGGCCTTGGGTTGGGGATGCAGGATGGGGCCATGGGGTGCAGGATGGGATTGTGGGGTGCAGGATGGGGCTGTGGGGTCCGGGAGGGGGCCATGGGGTGGGGGTGCAGGAGGGTGCAGGATGGGGCCATGGCACTGTCAGAATGGGGCTGTGCCGGTGGGAACGTGCTGGGATGGGCCCGTGTCCGGGGGGGGGTCACTCTGGGGGGGTCTCACCTTGAGCTTCCTCCGGGCATTGAACTTTTTCAGACACTCGACCGTCTCCTGCCTGTGCATCATGGAGGCCACGGTGGAGCGTTGCTGTGGGGACAGGGGGGTCAGCGCCAGCGCCCCGGCAGTGGGGGGGGACAGAGACCCACGCCGGGGTGGGGCACAGCGGGGCAGAGGCTGGACACTTACGCAGACCCACGGGTGCTTGAGGGCCTCGTGCGCTGTGATGCGCTTGGCCGGGTTGATGGTCAGCATCTGGTTGATGAGGTTTTTCGCTTCGGGGGTGACCGTGTCCCACTCGGGTGAAGGGAACTGGGGGGGGACAGACACACAAGGGGACAGCAGGGGGTGAGGCTGGGGAGGGACAGCCCCACGGTGCCTCGCTGCACACCCCCAGCCCACCAGGGGAGAAGTGGCCCAAAGCCTTTCCCCAGGCTCTGTCCCTCAGTAGGTTCCACGGTCAACCCCCGGCACCGGTGACTTACATCGTAGGCACCGGCCTTGATCTGTTGGTAGAGTTTGTGCTGGTCCTCGTCCCAGAAGGGCGGGTACCCCACCAGCAGGATGTAGAGGATGACGCCTGCGCAAGGGACAGAGGCATCAGGGCCAGGGCACGCGGCTGGGGTGGAGGCAGGATAGGTCCAGGGATGGGACCAGGATGAAGGGGACGGGACCAGGATGAAGGGGACGGGACCAGGATGGGGACAGGATGAAGACTGCGATAGGGCTGGGACAGGAACTGGGCTGGGGGGACATAAAATCAGGATAGGGAACAGGGTGAAACTGGGATGGGAATAGGATGGAGCCAGGAAGGTGATAGGATTGGGGCTGGGTGCGGATCAGGATGTGACCAGGAGGGGGATCGGGGAGGCACCAGGCAGGGATCAGGTGGGGATCAGGCAGGGACAGGGATCACCTACCGCATGCCCAGATGTCCACAGGTTTGCCGTAGGCCTCTTTGCGCAGGACTTCAGGGGAGAGGTATCCCGGTGTGCCCGCAAAGCCTGGACGGGAGATGGGCAGGAGCTGAGCCATGGCAGCATGGATGGGACAGGACAGGACAGGACAGGACAGTGACAGGACACGGGCACAAATGGGGACAGGGACAGGAGCAGGGACACAAACGGGGGGGGACAGGAGCACGGACATGGACAGGGATAGGGACAGGACAGGGACAGGATAGGGACACGGACACGACTGGAATACGGACACAGGGACAGGATGCAGTGGGCATTGGACTGGTGCACAGGGATGGAGCAGGGATGTGCTGGGCACAGGGTAGAGACAAGGTGGATACTGGGGGATACAGGGGACATGGGGGGACACAGGGGCAGGGGCACTCGTGGCACTCACCGAACCAGGCCTGCTGATCCCCCTGCACCTCGATGGCGAGGCCGAAGTCGGCCAGTTTCACTGCAGCCCCTTTGCACTTGCTGGCCAGGAGCAGGTTCTCCGGCTGCGAAGCCAGCACCAGGTATGGGCAGCACCGGGTGCAGGCAGCACCAGGTATGGGCAGAACCGGGTATGGGCAGCACTGGGTGCAGGCAGCACCAGGTATGGGCAGAACCGGGTATGGGCAGCACTGGGTGCAGGCAGCACCAGGTATGGGCAGAACCGGGTATGGGCAGCACTGGGTGCAGGCAGCACCAGGTATGGGCAGCACCGGGTATGGGCAGCACTGGGTGCAGGCAGCACCAGGTATGGGCAGCACCGGGTATGGGCAGCACCGGGTACAGGCACCACCAGGTACAGGCACCACCAGGTATGGGCAGCACCAGGTATGGGCAGCCCTGGGTATGGGCAGTGCCAGGTATGGGCAGTGCCAGGTATGGGCAGCACCAAGTACAGGCAGTGCCAGGTATGGGTAGCACTGGGTACGGGCAGTGCTGGGTATGGGCAGAGAGGGAGAAGAGGACATGGGAGGAAGTAGAGGGGCTTTGCAGCCACCATGGAGCGGGTCCTGCCCCGGGGGGGTCTGTCCCCCGTACCCCAACAGGTTGAGCCCCCCTCGTGAGGAGCCATCATGGGGGGGTCACATGCACCCCAGAAAGGGGTCCAGATGAGGGGAGCCTCATCCCCAGGGGCAGCTCAGTGACACCCCCCCCCCCAGACCCAGGGGCTTGGGAACCCACCGAGCCAGGGCCCCCCCACCCAAGGGACCCCTTGCAGAGGGGCAGACGGACGGATGGGGGGGCTCACCTTGAGGTCCCTGTGGACGACCCCCATCTGGTGACAGTGGAGGACGGCCTCCAGGATCTGCTGGATGCAGTGGCTGCGTGCAAATGGGGGGGGGTGGGGGGGGTCAGGGACACGCTGCCCCCCCCACCTCCTGCACCCCTCCTGCCCCCCCAAACCAGCCCCTGGCCCCGCTGCGCCTTGGGGTGACCCCTACAGAAACATCAGTATCTCATATTGGGGGGGTGCTGAGCTTGGCACCCCCCAAACCTCTGCCTGGGGGGGGGTCACTGCCTGGGGGGACACCCCTGGGTGCCCCTCAGGGGGTGCCCCCATCTTAGCATGGAGCTATGGGGGTCACCCTCCTGGTGCTGCTGTGCCGCCCCCCAGCCCTGCTGCCTCTCGGGACCCCCAGACAGGACTCACAGGGGAGGGACGGGGGATGCGGGCAGGGTGGATGGAGACGAGACAAGAAAGAGGGAAGGAGCGGGGGGATGAGAGGCTGGAATGGGGGTGAAGTTGGGGGGGCCCTCGCCCGGCTGTGGGGTGCTGGGGCATGGGGGGGGGGGGGGGGCAACCTCCCTGCAAGGGGGTGGCAAAAAAAAGTGTGTGGGGGGATGACAGAAAAAGGAGGGAGGAGAGAGCCCCAGAGCGGGGTCCCCGTGAGGGCAGCGGGGCCGGGAAGCACAGATGCTCCGGCAGGCGGGGGGCACGGCCCCCCCGGCCCCCCCCGTTATACTGACCTGCGGCTCCCTCTGCACAGGGGCAAAGTGATGGGTGGGAGAAACGCGCTAATAGCTCATGGACACAGTGACTGCAAAACAAAACGGGGGGCGGGGGGCGGGGGGGCGGGATGGCGGGGGGGGGAGGGAGGGATGGGGGTGAAGGGGAGGGATGGGGGAATAGGTGGGAGGGGTTAGGATGGGGATAAAGGGGTGGGATGGGAGAGGAATGGGACAGGAGTGGGGGGCAGGAGGACAGAGGGGCAGGTTGGGGGGGCAGCAGGAGGTAAAACAGAGGGAAGGGGGTGCCGGGGGGGGGGCAGCGAGCACAGGGGCAGCAGTGGGACAGACGGACACATGGACGGACACACGGACACGCACAGAGCCCGAGCGACGCGTGATGGGAGACAGGGAGGGATGGGGGGGACAGGGGAGGACGGATGGAAAGGGGGGGGGTGGGATGGGGACAGGGTGGGGCGGAGATGGGGGAACGAGAGAGGGGGGGAGAAACAATGTTGTGAAAGCCCAGAGACCACGGGGACGGGCACACGGTGGCACACAGGGCACTGGGGGCCTGGCACCGGCATGGGGGGGGCCCTGGGGGCCCCCCACCAGCCACCAGCCACTCCCCACACACGGCGGGGGTGGGACATGGGGGGGGCCCACTGAGCACCCAGCAGCAGGACGGAGCCGGGGGGGGCGCAGGGTAAGAACCACCCCCCCCACACTGGGTGCCCCCCTGCCTGCCTCGCTGGAGCTGCCCCATCCATGCAGCCCCCCCTGGGGGGGGGGGGGGGTGGGGTGGCACTGGGGGTGTCCAGGGGGGGTTTAGGGGGGTCTGGGTGGGGGCGCGGGGCTCACCTGGCATCGGCTTCACTGTAGTATTCCCGCGCCACGATGTCCTCGAAGAGCTCACCCCCGGTCACCCTGAAACACACGGAGCCAGCGCTGTCACCACCGGGGCATGGCCCCCCCCCTCCCCCCGGGACCCCCCCGGTACCCCCGGCCACACTCACAGGTCGAAGACGAGGTAATGGAAACCCTCCTCCGAGATGCTGTCGTGGAGCCGCACTGCAGGGACAGGGATGGGCACAGGGATGGGCACGGGGGCAGGAGCCCACACGCGGGTCTGTGGCGTGCACCTAGAGCCAGCGCGTGCCAGCACCCAACAGGGACCCAAGGCGGGGACCCCCTGTGTCCCAGGGGCACCCAGGGCTGAGACACCCCCCCCCCCCCATGTCCCCAGGGGCACCCCGCACACCGGGGGGTCCCCGCAGTGCCCGCTCACCGATGTTGGAGTGCTTCAGCAGCCGGCAGATCCGGGCCTCGCGCTCCAGCTTCTGGTGGTCTGAGAGGAGAGGGGTGAGGCAGAGCCCTGGCACCCCAAGAGCACCCAAGCCCCGGACACCCACCACCTGCACCCCCAGGTCCCCATCCGGAGCAGCCACACGTGAACACACGTGGCTCTGTGGGTGCAGGTGGCTGTGGGCGTGCACCATATATAGGTGCACATGTGTGCAGGTGTGCGGTTGTGCGTGCTGATGCAGCTGCGATGTGGTTGTGCATGTATGGATGCGTGTGCACGTGTGTGGCTGTGCATGCGGGCAGTTGTGTGTACATGTGTGCAGTTGCGGGTGTGGATGTAGGTGGGGTTGTCAACGCATGTACACGTGTACAGGTGTGCTGTGTGAGGCTGTACTTGGGTGGATGGGTGAACCTGTGTGTGGCTGTACATACACGCACATGTGTACCTATGTGTGGCAGTACATGTGTGAGGCAGTACATCAATGTGGTCACGCTTGTGTGCACACGTGTATCTTTAGGTGTAGCTGTACCTGTGTACGGGTGTACACCCGTGTGGCTGTACCCCTGTGTATGTGTACCCATGTGTGTGTATTCACGTGCATGTACCTGTGTGCCGGGCAGGGCGGTGAGGGTGCACACATGTGCGGGTGTACATACATGTGTGTAACCATGGTCGCACATACAGCTCACACGTGTGCACACACACGGAGCATCACAGACACGACATGCACACATATGTGCACACGCACACACACAGCAAACACACATCCATGGCCCAGTACACACATGTGTGCACGCATAGAGCACACGTACACAGCCGGCTAACGTGTGCACACACGTCACACACCTGCACACACGCACCCCATGACACACTACAGGCACACATCCTGCTCATGCATGTGCACATACCCCCCATGTACAGTGCACATGCCTGTACACGTTGCACATGTTGCTCGCACATGTGCACACACACACTTGTGCACTCTCCATGTGTGTGCACCCCTGAACAGTCATGTGCACACACACGTGCACACACATGTACACATCGCACATACATGTGCACACACACTGTGCACACGCACACACTGCTCACACCCATGTGCACCCCCCATTCCACTCACTCCTGGGCATGCACACACACCTCTGCACATAGCACACGCATGTACACACACACATGTATGCACATACACATGCATGTACACACACATGTACACACACGTGTATGCACATACACATGCATGTACACACACGTACACACACACGTACACACGTAGGCATTCACATGTACACACGTACACACACGCATGTACACACACACATGTACACACCCATGGACAACACACACGTACACACACACAAGTACACACTCATACACACACAAGCACACACACATGTATACACACATGTAAACACACACAAGTACACACACATACACACATGTACACACACATGTACACAAAACAAGTACACACACACATGTACACACACATGTACAACACACACAAGCATGTACACACACACATGTACACACACAAGTACACATACACACATACACACACGTACACACACACACATGTACACACACATACACACACACGTACACACACACAAGTACACAAACACATGTACACACACATACACACATGTACACACCTACGCACGTACACACACGTACACACACACATACAAGTACACACGCACATGTACACACATACAAACACAAGTACACACAAGTACACACACATGTACACACACAAAGTACACGCACAAGTACATACAAACGTACACACACACGTACACACATGTACACACACGTACACACACACGTACACACACACGTACACACGTACACACACATGTACACACACATACACACACATGTACACACACACACATACACAAGTACACACATGTACACACACACGTACACACACACGTGTACACACACACAAGTATAAACACACACACAGAGCTCACACGCATGCACAACCCCTGTGGTGGCGTGGGGACCCTGTGGGGCAGCAGGAAGGAACGGGAAGGGCCAGAGCCAGCCCCATGGAGCACCCAGCAACCTCCCAGCACCACGGTACCAGGGGTGTGACGGGTACCAGGGGTGTGATGGGTGCCCCGGGTGTGATGGGTACCAGGGGTGTGATGGGTACCACGGGGTGATGGGTGCCCCAGGTGTGACGGGTACCAGGGGTGTGACGGGTGCCCTGGGTGTGATGGGTTCCAGGGGTGTGATGGGTGCCCCGGGTGTGATGGGTACCCCGGGTGTGATGGGTACCAGGGGTGTGATGGGTACCACGGGGTGATGGGTGCCCCGGTTGTGACGGGTACCAGGGGTGTGATGGGTACCAGGGGTGTGATGGGTACCACAGGTGTGATGGGTGCCCCAGGTGTGACGGGTACCAGGGGTGTGATGGGTGCCCTGGGTGTGATGGGTGCCAGGGGTGTGACGGGTACCAGGGGTGTGACGGGTGCCCCCGGGTGTGATGGGTACCAGGGGTGTGACGGGTACCAGGGGTGTGATGGGTGCCCCAGGTGTGACGGGTACCAGGGGTGTGATGGGTGCCCCGTGTGTGACGGGTACCAGGGGTGTGATGGGTGCCCCGGATGTGATGGGTACCAGGGGGTGTGATGGGTGCCCTGGGTCTGATGGGTACCACGGGTGTGATGGGTGCCCCGGGTACCAGGGGTGTGATGGGTGCCCTGGGTGTGATGGGTACCAGGGGTGTGATGGGTGCCCCGTGTGTGATGGGTACCAGGGGTTTGACGGGTACCAGGGGTGTGACGGGTGCCCTGGGTGTGACGGGTACCAGGGGTGTGACGGGTACCATGGGTGTGATGGATACCAGGGGTGTGATGGGTGCCCCAGATGTGACGGGTACCAGGGGTGTGATGGGTGCCACGGGTGTGATAGGTACCAGGGGTGTGATGGGTACCACGGGTGTGATGGGTGCCCCGGGTGTTATGGGTACTGGGGTGTGATGGGTGCCACAGGTGTGACGGGTGCCACAGGTGTGATGGGTACCAGGGGTGTGATGGGTGCCATGGATGTGACGGGTAACACAGGTGTGATGGGTACCAGGGGTGTGATGGGTGCCATGGATGTGACGGGTAACACAGGTGTGATGGGTACCAGGGGTGTGATGGGTGCCACAGGTGTGATGGGTACCAAAGGTGTGATGGGTGCCATGGATGTGACGGGTAACACAGGTGTGATGGGTACCAGGGGTGTGATGGGTGCCAGGGGTGTGATGGGTGCCAGGGGTGTGATGGGTTTCCCGGGTGTGATGGGTGCCGCAGGTGTGACGGGTACCAGGGATGTGATGGGTGCCAGGGGTGTGATGGGTGCCCCGGGCATGCCGCACATCCCCATGGGCACTCGGGGGAGTGCCCGGGGGCTCCTACCTCTGGCCGAGAGCTTTTTGGTGTTGATGATCTTGGCGGCGTACTCATGGCCGGTGCAGAGCTTGACACAGCGCCGGACCACCGAGAAGGCGCCCCTGGGGGGGGGGGGGGGGGGGGCAGGGATGGCCTCAGCCCCCCCCGACCCCCAAACCCGGCTCCCCCCCGTGACTCAGCACCCAGGAACGGGGCTGCACTGCCCGTGACTCAGCAGCAGGGGGTGAACCCGGCACCGGGGGGGGAGGGGGACACGGACCTTGACACCGAGGCCCCGTGGATGGGAGGTGCTGCAGGGGAATGGGGAGGGAGGGAGGGAAGGAGAGCGTGGCAGGGGCCGGGGCAGCACCACGGCGGGGAGGGGGCGCGGGAAGGATCCGGCACCGGCAGCCTGTTGCCATGGGGACAGCGGGTGGCCCGGATGGTGGCGATGGCCGTGGTGGGGATGGTGGTGATGATCGTGGTGATGGGGATGATGGGGATGGTGGCAGCAGTGGTGGTGATGGGGGTGATGGGGGTGATGAGGGTGGTGGAGATGCTGATGGGGCTGATGGGGACGATGGAGACGATGATGAGGATGATGGAGATTATGATGATGAGGATGATGGAGATTATGATGATGAGGATGATGGAGTGATAGAAATTATGATGGGGGTGATGGTGGTGGTGGAGACGGTGATGGCAATGATGGTGATGATGTGGATGGTGATGATGAGGATGATGGGGATGAGAATTGTGGAAATGATGGGGTGATGATGATGGTGATGGTGGGAATGATGGGGATGATAGCGGTGAAGGTGATGATGGGGATGATGGGGACGGTGGGGATGATGGTGATGGTGGGATGATGGGGATGATAGTGGTGAAGGTGATGATGGGGATGATGGGGATGGTGGGGATGATGGTGATGGTTGAGATGATGGAGATGGTTGTGATGATGGAGATGGTTGTGATGATGGAGATGGTTGTGATGATGGAGGGGATGGGGATGACTGAGATGAGGATGGGGATGATGGAGATGATGAGGATGGGGATGATGGAGATGATGAGGATGGGGATGATGGAGATGACGGATGGGGATGATGGAGATGATGGGGATGATGGAGAGGATGGGCATGATGTAGATGATAGGGATGGGGATGACTGAGATGATGGGGATGATGGAGATGATGGGGATGATGGAGATGATGGGCATGATGGGGATGATGGGCATGATGGGGATGATGGGCATGATGGGGATGATAGGGAAGGGGATGATACAGATGATGGGGAAGGGGATGATGGAGATGATGGGGAAGGGGATGATGGAGATGATGGGGAAGGGGATGATGGAGATGATGGGAAAGGGGATG